GGTCAAGTGGCTGGGCTCTGTGGCTGGGTGTGTTGGTCCTGACTGATTTACTTAGCATGAAGAGGTATGTTTGTTATCTGATCACCATGTAGAGTTTATGAAGATCCTAAAGCACCTGTCAACATGTGAAATATAGGATCATCGAAGACCTGGAAAATCGAGGCAGACCAATGACAGAGATGACTAAGTCCACACTAAACTGGTGATCGTCCTTAAACTACACAATCATTACATTTTGCCATAATATCCGTAAATGAATCGTTAATCGATGATGGCACAATGCCCCGTCAGCAGCACAATCACCAACAGGTGACACAATGCCCCGTCAGCAGCACAATCACCAACAGGTGATACAATGCCCCGTCAGCAGCACAATCACCAACAGGTGACACAATGACCAGTCAGCAGCACAATCACCAACAGGTGACACAATGCCCCGTCAGTAGCACAATTACCAACAGGTGACACAATGACCCGTCAGCAGCACAATCACCAACAGGTGACACAATGACCCGTCAGCAGCACAATCACCAACAGGTGACACAATGACCTGTCAGCAGCACAATCACCAACAGGTGACACAATGCCCCGTCAGCAGCACAATCACCAACAGGTGACACAATGACCCGTCAGCAGCACAATCACCAACAGGTGACACAATGCCCCGTCAGCAGCACAATCACCAACAGGTGACACAATGACCTGTCAGCAGCACAATCACCAACAGGTGACACAATGCCCCATCAGCAGCACAATCACCAACAGGTGACACAATGCCCCGTCAGCAGCACAATCACCAACAGGTGACACAATGACCCGTCAGCAGCACAATCAACAACAGGTGACACAATGCCCCGTCAGTAGCACAATCACCAACAGGTGACACAATGCCCCGTCAGCAGCACAATCACCAACAGGTGACACAATGCCCGTCAGCAGCACAATCACCAACAGGTGACACAATGCCCCGTCAGCAGCACAATCACCAACAGGTGACACAATGCCCCGTCAGCAGCACAATCACCAACAGGTGACACAATGCCCGTCAGCAGCACAATCACCAGCACAATCACCAACAGGTGACACAATGCCCCGTCAGCAGCACAATCACTAACAGGTAACACAATGACACAGTGAATTACAGGTAAGAAAGGGTTTTACACTCTTCTTGTATCAAACATATTTCCACAACTATCAGGCATTGCTGAGTATGTTATATCAGGGGTGGAAATAACCCATTGCCCGATGCCCGAGTCCAGTCTTTTTTTCTGTCGGGCAAGCAAATTTGTATATCACACTGTACCAGTGTCCAGTTGACTTTCCAATGTTAATTATGCTGTTTATTTAAAAAATCAACAAGAAAATCGGCCAGTATAGTGGTAAAATTATCAGGGCAAGTGATTTTACTTGTGCCACTGTACCGGAGTACACTAGCAATTTTAAAGTTATTTCCCCCCCTGTATATGTTGACCAGATTATGTAAAAATATTTAAGTCCTGTCTTTTATGTAAGCAGACATGTTTATCTAAGGGCCTGTTCGATTATTGCGAAACTGGTTTTGGTTTTTGAAACTGGTTTCTCCTCTTATAAACAAGTGTCTAGTTTCGGATACATGGTTTCAAAGTAAAACTAGTTTCTAGTTTTATAAACGAGTGGATGGTTTCACCATCCGGTTTCAAAATGGATACCAAAAAAATGTCTCAGCTACTGTATATGTGGAACTAATTGGATGACAGCATATGTTTTTCATTTTATCAGTGAATTAACAAATAATAAAGAGATGAGATGCTTTTGGAGATAAATATTTGCGTATATGTAATTATATCGTTACAAGTTATTATATATATACAAGTTACATAAAATAGCCATGTTCAATAGACTGGGGTTTTAAATAATATTTTCCTAGTTCTCAGTTGATTTTTATCATTATTTTGGTTCCAAAAACTGCTGCTCTATTTTGCCACCAAGATCAGCTGAACTTGGCTCTTTCGTTTCCGCCATGTCTGTTGTGAGAGAACGCGAAACTGAAACTGCGAAACCTGCCTCGGAGATGGTTTCGAAGTTTCAGATCCCAGTTTTAGGTTTCGACATAATCGAGTGCATGGTTTTCCCGAAACCAAAACCGGTTTAGCATAATCGAATAGGCCCTTAAACAGGTCAAGGGAGATAATTCATGAAGGTCTTGAAACATATATTTGTCTTTTGAGGTGGATCTACTCAAGACATCACCAAGAACCATGGTGTCTCTGTAGTAATGACTATGTGTTCTCGTGTATCTGAGGAGAAATGATTTCACACTTGCAGGTCAACCTGTATGTTGGCTTGATGACAATGCTGCTGATGATCAGTCAGGAGTAGGGGTGAGGATGGTGTTAGTTTGACAGGCATCAAACAAAATCTAAACAAATCAGTTTTCAACAAAGTCGCTTCTGTTATCAGATGTTAGAACACAAGCCTCTCTATCTGGACAAGGTTTAGTTTGTCCATAGGAGCCCTCTCTATCTGGACAATGTTTAGTTTGTCCATAGGAACCCTCTCTATCGGGACAAGGTTTAGTTTGTCCATAGGAACCCTCTCAATCTGGACAAGGTTGAGTTTGTCCATAGGAACCCTCTCTATCTGGACAAGGTTTAGTTTGTCCATAGGAACCCTCTCAATCTGGACAAGGTTTAGTTTGTCCATAGGAACCCTCTCAATTTGGACAAGGTTTAAGATGAGGGGGAGATCTGGTGCCTGCTCCACCCTGGAGATCAGCATGTGTGTTCATGGTTAATGTTAGAAATATCTGTGTTAGTGTACAAGGGTGAGACATTGGAAAGTCAGCAGTTGCTGCATAGTCACACCACATACCATGGAGAGTCACACCACATACCATGGAGCTGACACAAACAGTGAAACCTCGCCATCTGACACGTCACCATCTGAAATCTTGCTATCACAAACCTCCCCATCTGAAACCTTGCTATCATGAACCTCGCTATCATAAACCTCATCATCTGAATCTGAAACCTCCCCATCTGAAACCTCCCCATCTGAGACCTTGCCATCTGAAACATTGCCATCTGAAACCTCCCCATCTGAGACCTTGCCATCTGAAACATTGCCATCTGAAACCTCCCCATCTGAAACATTGCCATCTGAAACCTTGCCACCTGAAACCTCCCCATCTGAGACCTCACCATCTGAGACCTTGCCATCTGAAACATTGCCACCTGAAACCTCACCATCTGAAACATTGCCATCTGAAACCTCACCATCTGAGACCTTGCCATCTGAAACATTGCCATCTGAAACCTTGCCACCTGAAACATTGCCATCTGAAACATTGCCATCTGAAACCTTGCCATCTGAAACATTGCCATCTGAAACATTGCCATCTGAAACATTGCCATCTGAAACATTGCCATCTGAAACCTTGCCACCTGAAACATTGCCATCTGAAACCTTGCCACCTGAAACCTCACTATCACCATCTGAAACATTGCTACCATAAACCCCACCACCTGAAACCTCACCATCTTAAACCTCACCATCACCATCTGAAACATTGCCATCTGAAACCCCACCACCTGAAACCTCGCCATCTAAAAACTCACCATCGGAAACCTCGCCACCTGAAAACTAAACATCTAAAAACTTGCCATCTTAAACCTCACAATCTCCAACCTTGACACCTGAAAAATCACCATCTAAATACTCACCATCTGAAACCTTGCCATCTGGAACCTTACTATCTCAAACAGTGCTTGCTCAGACCTCGCCAAGTCAGACCTGGTTAAAACAGTGTATGAAATAAGGCCTGTCCAACTGCCCAAGATGGGCTAGATTTGATAGATTTACAGCTAGCCTGCCCGATGATCTGGTAACATTTTTAGATAACATGTTCCATACGTCTATGAAAAATTGAGTTATTTTCTTTGGATTGTCTAGTCTGGTTAAATCCATTTTGGGCTGGTAACATTTTGAAGTTACCAGCCCTGATGTCTGGCTGGGGTTTTGGCATATTTCATACACTGCTTAAACAACACACTACTCATGAACTCCAACCTTACACATTGCGTCAGCATAATAATCCATCTCTATTAATCTCTATTAATTAACTCTGATGAGACAGACATCAATATGTGGGATCCCAAACATCAAGCTGGATGAGTTGTATCCACGGTCGGGTAGACACTGACGACACTGACAGATTGAACACTTCCATGAACTGCTAGCTCCACAGATGACCATAGACTTACTCAGGAACACATTCTACACCTTGAATGTTGTTGATGATTGTTTGGTAATAACAACCTGTTATTGCATCTACAGATCTAATAGCCATGATTACACCTTAACTAACATGTGTAGAAGTAGTGTAGTGATCAACACACAGTAATGCTCTTAACTGGATGGTTGACTGTTGTATAACACAATATACACACAGATATATTGTCAGGCAGTTAAGACATTGCTTATAGCATACGATTAACATCAATGTCAGGAAGCAGATTGCTCAGGCTGATATTGTGTTTTTACTATTGTCCACAAATGAAGAGGTTTCACTGTATGTATTACAATGTCAGAAATGACCAATCATAATAATCTTGGGAGTTTCATCATTATCAGTAAATTAACTGAGGAGAGTTATGGTGCTATGCTATGACCCTGGATCGCAGGTGTAGTGAGGTGCTCCAGGGATTTATCTAGCCCTACTTCAAGGCCAACATTTCCAAATTCATGCTGTAATAAATACAGTTATGGCTTGTGGAGGTGACTTGTATTACTCCCACCAGGGATAATATGTAATTCAATTCGCTTTCACATTATTACATTGAATGCAACGTTAAAAGTCGAAATTTAGGAAAATATTGATCCGAATTTGAACAAAATAACAATTTGTTCCCAGTTTGCCTGCCCAAATCACTGGGTGTATTATCCTAGATAAATCCCTGGCCCTGAAACTGTGCACTCCTGGTTAGTAGCAACAAGGAAATTAAAGGGGGAGTTTTACAAACCTGGCGAGAAACAACCTGAAGACAAAGTACTTCTTTAAGAAAACTGACAAATACGAGGGCATAGACATTGGGTGTTTATACAGCAATGAGATGGTTGTATCAACCAAGTATTTAGCCACTGTCTGCTTAAAGTGGTCTGCTGGCGTGACAACGTCTTGAAAATATATTTCAATTGCAAAGGTTACATGAAAGTTGAAAGGCATGCTAGACAGAACACAGATATGTTGGATATATATGTATAGAGTTTGTGCAGTCAGTGTGTAGACCCCTCATCCAGAAAGCCATCTGGCAGCGCCACCTACCTTCACTTCCAAGTGGAAGGTCATCTACGAAGGCGTCATCATCAGCCTTTGTCCTGAAACATTTAACAAAGTGACACTCATTCTGACACAAGATCTGGTTCTGAAACATATAGGCACTGATCTGTCATTGTCCATTTTTCGGGAAAAAGATCTCTGTGTTATTTTTGTTAAACTCCCAGACATCCTTACAAAGAAAATCAAATTTTATCAAGATATTGAACACAGTAGTACTTACATTTCTGGCAATGGTTCCTCCACTTTAGGACTCAGGCTGTCCATCAGTTCTGTCCAGCTCTTGACCCCTTTTCCAATCATATCTGTCACAGGAAGTGAGTTGGGTTCAATGTGGGCAAACAGACAGTAGTTCAGTTTCATATAATGGCATACCAGCTTGTGTGGGAGGAAAGTTTCAAGTCATGCAGACATTATAGACTTTGGTGAAACACCATGGTGGGAACTTGGATCTGAACTCATGATCATAGGTGTCTAGTACAACTAAGGAACACAATTCTGCACAGAGACCCAAGGACAGATGGGCCTCTGAGATTGTAATGAGATCACTATGCTACTTACCTGACACAGATGGGGCCGACCTCTGACCTGTTCCAGACTGGGCCGGCTTGTGCCCTGGTGGAGCTGCTGCTCCATGGGACCTCACCTCTGCTCCACCAACTTCCTTCATCACTGCTTCGTGAGCCGCGCCCTCGACAGACACGCTCCGACCTACGGCCCGCTTTACCGCCATGACATCCTCATGACCAACATCCTGGATCTCACAGTGTCCGTTACCGTCCGTCACAAAGTTTGGGAGGTCCTCATCACTACAGCAGGAGACTGGCACAGTTTCATCTTCTCGAGCTGCTACTCCTCGCCGACGTATAAAACGGAATCCAGAGAAATTTTGTTGAAAATGTCGCACTTGTGCTCTTAAGTAATCACGTTTGTTCAACAAAGCCTTGACAAGTCGTCTAGAGTTTGAGGGTGTATTAGGCTCTCTGATTGGCTGTTCTGATTCAAGATCGGAAGTGTCAGGAACGTTGATTTGTTGGTCTACATCAAAGTCAGTTACACTTCTTTGGATGTTCTTGTTTCGATCAAAGTTGGCAGTTTCTTCAAAGTCTGGAAAACAATTAAATATACTTAACTCAAATATACAAATCATATTTAAACAACAGCATATTGTAAGCAAAACTGTCACATGCACAGAGGAAACTTACCCAAATCTATATACAATAACATGTTTTGATCCACAATGTCAACACACTAAAGGAAGTCCTGGTGGTCCTACTGTTGGGGACATCTTCCTTTAATCGGAAGGTCTGTTTTGTTAGTTAACCCAAGCAAAACATAGAAGTAGGATCCTCATAGTTAGTTCAGGAAGGGAAGCTGGCCTCAGTGTCTGTGACAAGCATTATATCATGACCTGACCTGTGTTCAGCTTCTCTACATCTTCACTTAGATCGTACGACATCATATAGAGCTTTAAACACCTAAATCGTACGACATCATATAGAGCTTTAAACACCTAGATCGTACGACATCATATAGAGCTTTAAACACCTAGATCGTACGACATCATATAGAGCTTTAAACACCTAGATCGTACAACATCATATAGAGCTTTAAACACCTAGATCGTACGACATCATATAGAGCTTTAAACACCTAGATCGTACGACATCATATAGAGAGCTTTAAACACCTAGATCGTACAACATCATATAGAGTTGAGTTGAGTTGGGCTTTACGTCACATCGGCATTATTCCAGCCATATAGTGACAAGAACAAGTCTGCATTAGTAAACATTGTAAGTACAGAGTCAAAATGAGTTTTATTTCAAAAACATATATTCATTTCATTGTCATTTAAATCAGAAAAAGTCATAGCACTAAATTTAAAGACAGGCAATTTGTTAGTTACATTACACAGTTACAATTTATGATACAGATCAACTTCCCTCAGGTAGTTCACTATCAGATGAGCGCTCACACAGGAGAACAGATCTTTCAGATTTGTTGCTTCATAATGTGAGTCCCTTGCAGACGATAAGTCCACACAGTCAAGCAGAATATGCTTGATGGTGAAAACCTCATCACAAGAGACACACATGGGGGGTCCATCCCCATCCGTTTTCAGCAGATAGTCATGAGTAAACCAGACTGTGGCCAATACGACATCGTCGTAAAATTACCTCATCATGTCTTGACTGACAACCCAAGTAGGTATAACCAATTGTTGGCTTCAATTCATACAGTTTATTTCTTCCTACTTGAGTGTCCCACCTTTTTTGCATGAGGTCCCGAGTATAGCTTTTGATAGTGGGGTGAAATCACTGTACGGGATCAGCAGTGGAGATAAGGTCTGTCAAGTCACACATCATATAGAGCTTTAAACACCTAGATCGTACAACATCATATAGAGCTTTAAACACCTAGATCGTACAACATCATATAGAGCCTTAATCACCTAAATTGCAGCATCAGCAGAATGCAACGTTTCAGAAATCTCAGCCTTCAACCATCATGCAGTTAATTTCACAAACAAGATAAGAACGTATGAAGTCAGAAGACAGTGTACAACACTCAAAAGATTATTACAAATGTGGTTCATTACACAAAGCAGGGAAATGGTTCTATGCATGACCAAGTGTTACCTGAGGGTAATGAGAAAATGCATTCTTGCAAAACAGTTACTGATTTCCATGACTACGTTCTGGCACTGGAGATATGGCATGCTTGGTAGGCTTGACAAGGTCAAGGTTGAAGCAACTGGTTCTGTTGCAGATTGATTAACAAACATGCAGCAACAGACTCCTAGAACAGGACTTGCTGCAGCAACAGCATGGGAAGAGTCAGATACCAGGGATTAAAACTTGTGATGATATGACACATATTTACATATTCTACCTTTGTGTGTATACAGGTGAAGTAGGGAGTACATTCAGGATTCTGGAGAGGAGGGACATACAGTTGGTAGAAGCACAATATATTCGTATCACATGAAGTTGGATATACAGGTGTATGACAGGTGATATATACATATCCTGGAGGTGGGTTATACAGGTCCTGGAGGTGGAATATACAGGTGCTGGAGGCGGGATATACACGTGCTGGAGGAAGGTTATACAGGTCCTGGAGGTGGAATATACAGATGCTGGAGGCGGGATATACAGGTCCTGGAGGTGGAATATACAGGTGCTGGAGGCGGGATATACACGTGCTGGAGGAAGGTTATACAGGTCCTGGAGGTGGAATATACAGGTGCTGGAGGTGGAATATACAGGTGCTGGAGGCGAAGGATATACAGGTGCTGGAGGCAGGAGATGGGATATACAGGTGCTGGAGGAAGGTTATACAGGTCCTGGAGGTGGAATATACAGGTGCTGGAGGTGGGATATACACGTGCTGGAGGAAGGTTATACAGGTCCTGGAGGTGGAATATACAGGTGCTGGAGGCGGGATATACACGTGCTGGAGGAAGGTTATACAAGGAAGGAGGTGGAATATACAGATGCTGGAGGTGGGATATACAGGTGCTGGAGGAAGGTTATACAAGGAAGGAGATGGGATAAGCAGGTGCTGGAGGAATATATACACATGCTGGAGGAAGGTTATACAGGTCCTGGAGGTGGAATGGTGGACAGGATATACCGTGCTGGAGGAAGGTTATACAGGTCCTGGAGGTGGAATATACAGGTGCTGGAGGTGGGATATACAGGTGCTGGAGGAAGGTTATACAGGTCCTGGAGGTGGAATATACAGGTGCTGGAAGATGGGATATACACGCATGCTGGAGGAAGGTTATACAGGTCCTGGAGGTGGAATATACAGGTGCTGGAAATGGGATATACAGGTGCTGGAGGAAGGTTATACAGGTCCTGGAGGTGGAATATACATGGTGGAAATGGGATATACACGTGCTGGAGGAAGGTTATACAGGTCCTGGAGGTGGAATATACAGGTGCTGGAGGTGGGATATACACGTGCTGGAGGAAGGTTATACAGGTCCTGGAGGTGGAATATACAGGTGCTGGAGGGGATATACAGGTGCTGGAGGAAGGTTATACAGGTCCTGGAGGTGGAATATACAGGTGCTGGAGGCGGGATATACACGTGCTGGAGGAAGGTTATACAAGGAAGGAGATGGGATAAAGCGATGGTGGAAATGGGATAAACACGTGCTGGAGGAAGGTTATACAGACGCAGGAGGTGGGATATACAGTCTGGACCAGACAATCCAGTGATCAACATCATGAGCATCAATCTATGCAGCTGGGATATGATGACATGTATACAGGTGCTGGATATACAGGTGGTAGAAATGGTGGCTTAAGCAAATGCTGTTGGTATGGAAGAATTGGGAGGTGTGGGAGGGGATGGAGGTGCTGAAAGTATGGGATGCTCCAGGTGTTGAAGATTCTTGGATAAAACAAAAAGAAGATGCAAGCACCTAATGACCTCTATACGTGTGTCCCCAGCACTGTACAGCAGTAACTGCCATCACTATACACAATAATAAATGAGATGCTATTCCATGAACACAGTTGGTCCAACACGACACAGCTTGTGTTGTGATACCTGAAATGGGCTCCAGGTCAGCACATACACAAGGCAGAATGTACCAACTCACACTCACAGGGATGGGTCACCCTTGGCCCTTGTAACATAAATATGAAAACTTGCTGCACATGGAATGGTTCTACCTTACAAGACTGTAGTGCAATAGATAAACCTAAAAAATACTGTTATACCTAAATACTGTAGTGCAATGGTTATACCTAAATACTGTAGCGCAATGGTTATACCTAAATACTGTAGTGCAATGGTTATACCTAAATACTGTAGTGCAATGGTTAAACCTAAATACTGTAGTGCAATGGTTATACCTAAATACTGTAGCACAATGGTTAAATCTAAATACTGTAGTGCAATGGTTAAACCTAAATACTGTAGCTAATGGTTATACCTAAATACTGTAGCACAATGGTTATACCTAAATACTGTAAATGGTTACTGTAGTGCAATGGTTATACCTAAATACTGTAGCGCAATGGTTATACCTAAATACTGTAGCGCAATGGTTATACCTAAATACTGTAGCACAATGGTTATACCTAAATACTGTAGCGCAATGGTTATACCTAAATACTGTAGCGCAATGGTTATACCTAAATACTGTAGCACAATGGTTAAACCTAAATACTGTAGCGCAATGGTTAACCTGACAACCTCATGTAAATAAATCTTGTAAAAAAAACACACATACAAGCGCGCACTCACACACACACACGAGCAACCACCACACACACAATTCCCTCTATGTACAGCAGCTGTGTAACCTTACAACCTACATGAACACCGCAACAGTGTCTCTGAATGTCTTAAATCATAATCTTCTATTCAGGAAGTGCAACTGGTCAATAAATCAACGAACAACACACCAGTAAAGTAATAAACCAGTCTACCATTAAAACAAAATATCAATACATACAACCAACATGGCCGAGGGCTTATCAAGAAATTGTTAGGCAACTCTCTGTCACTAAACTGTTAAATATGGGTGCAATATCTATTTGAGAAAAGGAATGTGCAAACTAAGGGAAGAAATTGAAATACAAGCTGGTTGAATATCCTGAACTTCCTGAGAACATGTCTTTCCATAGTATTTTAGAAGGTGGAAAGTACAAGATAGACAAATTTTATGGATAACATCTTTATTTGGTGAGTGCAATGTTTCGATATAGATTCTTGTACCGTTGTTCACATCTGTACAAGAATCTTCATACAGTTTGTTGATAGTCCTGAGAACATCCCAGGTCACCTGACAGAGCAACTGAGAACATCTCTGGTCCCCAACAAGATGACTGACAGGGTCCCTGGTCCCCAACAAGATGACTGACAGGGTCCCTGGTCCCCAACAAGATGACTGACAGATCATCCCTGGTCCCCAACAGGATGACTGACAGGGTCCCTGGTCACCAACAAGATGACTGACAGGGTCCCTGGTCCCCAACAGGATGACTGAGATCATCCCTGGTCCCTGGTCCCCATCCCAGGGTCCCTGGTCCAAGGATGACTGACATCATCCCTGGTCCCCAACAGGATGACTGACAGGGTCC